ATAAAAAATGGTAGGATAACGATACTTATTTTTATAACTCTTATCATAATGATGATTAACTAGCTAGTTCAAGTGCGTGTTTGAATGTTAATACCCCTTTTGTCTTTTTATTATACTCTTATAAGTATTTAAGTGTTCGTTCATTTGAAAAGTGAATATTATACTTATGGTCATTATTGTTTTCTTTTTTTTTTTATTCTTCTTTGCTTTCTTAAACATTATTCCATATTTGCTTATTACAAATCTTTGACTTGCTACATACAGTACGATACAAAAGGTCATTTTTACTTTATTATTTGGGATATTGAGTAATTTTATGTATTAATATTTGTTACTTTATTTTGTAACCAGTCTTATTGATTGGACTACCGTCTAGTGTCGAGTTCCGGTTGCGCTCTCCGCGTCGCGGTCGTCTTGGCCAGTGTAGACTGGCCAGGCCACCAAGCAAAGCTCGGCGATCTCGTGTACAAACAAAAAACACCTGTAGCCGTCAGCGAATCGCCAAGGTCGCAGGCCCCTACGGCGCGCTTCTCTGCGTTCCGTTTACCCATATCTCGCGGCGAATGCACGCGTCGCGCCGCCCCCGCTCCTTTGACTCACCGCACCCGCGCGTCCCGCCTGCTGTGTTTCGGGTCAAGTCTAGGACGGCCGTTTGACTTTGGTCTTGCTTCTTTCTTTTGCTGCAGTCTGCAGTATGGTATTACATTCGCGTCGCAACGAAAACATGGCGCCCTATCAAACATGACGTCATTATATGCTGACCTATCCCAGAACATTTTTATTTATATAGATGTAGAGTGTATGTATTGATGACTTTATGGTTTGACGAAAATGAAAGTATGTGACATACAAATGAGTACATACAAATTGGTTGAGATTCGGATAAAGTGTGCGCGCGCGTCGCTATTGTTAATCTTAATAATTGTAGCTGGTGGCCGCACTTCAAGTCAAGGTCGGCGCAGATCGATAGCTGCGATGGAGTGGGGTGACGGCAATCCTCAGCAAACTCCACATGCACGAGTGCACGTCATACAGACCAAAGAAAGTATTTGAAAGCGACAACATTCTTTGATAAGACTGCAAACAGTTCCACGCACGATGCGTAATCTGTCTGTATACAATGTACATTTTTATAAGTAGACTTACTTACCTATTGGGTATTTTTTCTTTTACCTTTTCATCAAAACTATTTATTTATATTTTTGCATTTAGTTCCTTTTATACTAAAGGATAAATCGAACAATGAAATATTGTAACTTAGAAGTAGGTATGTACTTGTGTCACACGTGTTTGTTGCTGGTAGTGGTATTTGCTTACTAAATCTAATTTTGACAATATTCTTATAATGGCTGTCCATTCATGCCATGTGTAGGTGTCCTCTGACCGCTAACGCCCCGAGATTGTTAAGTAGTTACGATTACACCTAGGTACAAAACACATCGACGTCAATGTAGGCAACTATTATGGCGACGAAGTGTTTTGTTTACTACAGCTTAAATATTGATTTGTCGCTTTCAATAAACTACACAATATAGAAACCGCCTACCACTTCCCAAGGGAGAAGCTATCAATTTCATAGACGCGAGGTTGTCAAGGATACCGCCTGATTGACATGTTCGGGTGATGTATACCTAAAATGTATATACTTACAGACGTCCCATATCAATCGTGAAAGGATATAAATTCGCGCCTGGATGAATTCTTTAGAATCGTGCGTGAATAATATCCGGGCAATCCACACAATAATTAGATATCATATATTTACTTTCAGTTTTTATGGTAATACGTATTATTAAATTTGTTTGTTGTTGTAATAAGTAAATGATTTAAACTTTATGGGTTAAACGTAGAGTAGTTTGTTGCTTAAAACATTTGGTTACTGGATATGATTTATGGTGTTTATATTCATACATATTTCTTTCTGTCTTTCTATTCTGCCTTATATCGCACTATCGTATCTCACTGTCATGAAGCTATTATCAACCCGGTTTTCGCTACCATTAGCTAGCGAGTGCTCTACTAGTGTATCTCACATTCTGCTGAAGTCACATTCAAGTTCATATTGAAATGGCTTCATATAGACTTTAAGAAACTGAGAAGACTAGTATTAACACCGCGGTCAATGTTGGCGTAACCGTAGATTTAGCAGACAAGGCTTTTTATTGCAATAAGTAATTAACTAGCAGTCATTACAAATTCGCGGTCAGTGAATATTACATTATTTGTATCTCCAAATACGATTACAGCAGCTAATACAATGAAAGATTTTAAGACGCATTCTACTAGGAGGTTTTGAACAAGAATGGTATCTGACAAACAAAAATATTTTTAAGTTAATTTAGGTATACTTTGCTTTGATGTAGGAGAAGATTCATAATTATCATTTATGAGCCCGCAAACTTTTTTGCTTTCAGAGCTTTACACGTGGTTATTAATATAATGCCTTCTTTCATAATCTAATATATAATACGCAGTGGTATCTATTACAGTATTTCAATGTGTATTTGTATTAGAATGTATATTTACTCAAACGATGTCCGCTTTTTTTTTTTAATTTCGCATAACTGATATCGTAAATAAATATTTAGTTGTAAATATAACACGTATCGATTTCGAATATATTTGATTTTGTGATGCCTACAAATTTTTGTATTTATTGTCATTGCGTACTCGTATATTGTATTATTAAATGAATACTTAACCTTATTTATTGATATATCTTTGTCCACATACACATAACAATATGTCTCTAGTCATTGTTTATTTACCATTTCTTTTATACAAATCTACTTTGTGTTTATTTTTATTAAAAATAGATTTTAGAAGACCGGATATGTCATTGTTTTTATTTTGTTACGCTAATAGTAATGTGAAATGTACCTTCAAGCATGTGGGCAAGGCCACATGTGTCCTCGGGCCCCTTGCTGAAGTAAACAAACATAACAAAACATGTTAGCTAGCTTTATATAAACGCATTGGTTCCACTATATTATGATTTGTATATGCTAAATACGGTTTAGATGATTTGGTGAGTATGGAGTAATTCAACTCCTAAACTATCTATGTAATGTAATGCATTAGTCGTGATGATATCCTTTATATTTTCAAACACCTTTTTTATCATCTTTTTTGTATTTATTGATAATACTAGTGGACAAACAATAAATCTGCAGGATATTCAATTACGTATTCATGGAATATAGTCTTTAGTTTAAAGTCAGAGATTCTTGCAAATACCTCGTATCTTTAGAAATTTACCTGACATTGTGTTTTGTCCAGATCGCGTTATTTACTTGCGACTCTACACTTTGTCAATAATTGTTATATTGTTTTATCTATGACAGTCTCATGATCTGTACATGCGTAAATTGAAGAAGATTTGATATTAACAACATGTTTAATTCAAGGACGTGTATGTAGGTGTATTTTAATTAATATCTTTTAAATAGTAAAAGGTACTCTTCGGATGTTTTTGTTTAGTTCTATTTTTGTTTCTCTGATTCTGTTCATTGATGAAACCAGCGAATGAAAATTGACTACTATTTTATTGTTGTGCGTAAAAATTGCGAGGTAGCGTAATTATACCTTTTAACAATAAGAAACTCCGTCCTGGAAAAGTAGTTGCAATAAGTCGCTCATAATGACTTCTAAATCAATTGCTACCTAGACTTATCAAGCTGTTGATTGTTTTATCCGTCATTGGAACCTAATAGATGCAATTTTTTTTACACTTTTATGCCTCTGCTCTATTGTAGATTAAACGTGGCGCCTGACTTGGCCTTCGTTTAGTCATTGTTTTTTTTTTTTACTTATGCCTTATTGATTATGTTATTGACTCCATACTACCTTGAAGGCGAGCGTCACATATACTATCTGTACCATATTACTATCCCTATCTATTATTAAGGTTTGTGACTAAGCAGCAGTAAATTAGCATAGTGTAATTACTTATTGTCTATTATGTATTGCTATGAATAATGATTTTTAAAAGTTTTTTTATTATAATATCATTGGCTACAGACGAACAATGATAAATATAGGATGTGTTTGTTTAGTTATTTATTAATTTCTCTTAAATATAGATAAAAATCAATAAAAGAAGGCAAACTGCGCGGACCCCAGATAAATGAAAAAGGCAAGGCAATGATGATGATGATAGAAAATATCAATTATGTATAATTTGAGTATAATAAAGATAACAATAAAATGAATGTAGAGAAAATATCGAAAACTATGCCCAATAAATATGATACGTTTGGTAGTTAATTAAAATATAAATATTATCATTGTTTAATTAAATTGCTTTTAATTTTATTGAGTGAAAAAGCAAATTTTTACATGGTAGGGGCTAGCGCTGGGAGTTCGGTCCACGAGTGACGTATAATATAATTACAGAAACGCGCCACAGCCACGATCATGAAGGCCAACTGCTAACAACTTCAATTATTTAGATGATTCCATCCCAACTCCTAACATATACATAACTACCTAACCATAAAATTCTTAAAATTATCTAGTTCATTTTGGTATCATTTACGAGTAAATGGCAAAAAACATGATTATAGCAACTCGTTTTGCTCAACATAAAATCAGATTTATTCATGTATGATTGTATACGGACCTTGAGCGCTTCGGGTGAGACCTTCACGCCCGTAACCGCGCGGAAGTTGGCGAGTAGGTACTAGCGGGTACCTATATTTTTTTGTCAAATCAGAGCTAGTTGAATTGCGCATTAGTCACTAGTTGGGCATCGGTGAGTGTATTTGTTACTTGCGGCGCATTGTTGACGAGCTGCACTGATATCGGCGTGTCGCGTCGGGTGCAAACTATCGTTATCACAATGTCACAACGTTGTCTAGATTGTCCCCTGCACGGACGGTTGTTGTAATGCTGTGCTGTCCTCTTATCACGATAGTCGTTTATTCGGTCTCGGTCGCCTTCACTCACATTATTTACATTCTTAATCGTTAATATCATTATTCGCGGATTCTAACATTCAGGCGCAAATTGTTCGTGACAGTCGCATCAACGTGACGTGGGGCAGTCGATTGACGTGTTAATCCGTGCAGTGTAATCGCGATCATCGGCAAGTGCGAAGTGCAGTGGCTCTTGAAGAGTCTCTAGTGATGTGAGGATGCTAGTTTGTGGTCATGTCGAGTGTGGCGAAGAAGGACAAGCCGACGATGTCGGTGACAGCGCTGATGAACTGGGCGCGGCCGCCGTTGTCGGGACAACAGCAACCATCGCCGGCCACTCCGGCGCCCGTGACTGGCTTTATGCAGCCGCTTCCGACGCCCTCCACCATTTCCAGCGACAGTTCGCTCGACATGCAATGTAAATATGTATTTTAACTTAAGGCCTATGTTAATGATAATTTTTTGCCGCGAATAAATCATTGGACTTATCATTAAACCTACACCTGACTAGAAATGTCAGCAATATTATTTTCAACATCTATGCCTTGTGTCATTAACATTAGGCCGTATATACATATAGTTATATATTTAATTTGTGTCTAAGGTCGCTGGAAGAATTCAAAGTTACAGAAATAGGTAGTGGGACCTTGAAAATAATCGATAAATCAGTAAAAGTACTTTTACCTTATAGATTGAGGTTGAATTATTAATTTGGGTAATTTGGGTTTGGAAAATTCTTGGAAACGTATAAAAATTTATTATTTAAAAATCTTCAAATATAATTCTTTCGTTCAAATAAAATAAGTTGTAAAATCTTAAAATACTTACCACTTATAACCTGTATATCATTAACAACCCTAATACTCGCATCACAAAGCAAGCAGCCCTCATAGAATATGTTATTTAATCCTTATTAATATTATAAATGTATAATGTTATTTTGTTTGTTTATTACCTCTTTGCTCCTTGGTGACTTAATAAATCACTATGAGACTAAGGGTACCCACTGACCGAAATTTAATATTATATAGTATGGAGAAAGACATAGGTTACACTTTTATCTCTGTCAGTGAAAATATCCCGATCATGCGGACGAAGTCGAGGGTGTAAGTTAGTACTTACAAAATAAGGATGTGTAATTAATTGAACTTTGAAACTTATCTTTATTTCTTAATACCTTCGTAGATAGATATCTACGAAGGCGTTAACGTTAATACGTATACAGACAGTTTTACAATTTTTATATTTGCCTAGGTACTACGTACTGTAGATTCTTACTAATTGATAGAAAATAAATAAACTGCAAAAATTATAGGATTGCAAATATAAGTATGACGTATAGTTTAAATAAAAGGTGATACTGGTTTCAGTGGTTTTCTATGAAGTATATGTATGTATTTACACGAAATTAATTAAGTTACGTCACTATAATGACTAGTACACAAAGTACTAGACATTTATTACTTACATTATTATTATTTAGCATACCTTATATATACCGTTTTTTTTTTTCAAGATTTGTAAGAATTCTGCATTATTTTTTTTTTTTTTTCTTTTTGCCCGCTACTGCTACGCGCGTGGATTTCAGAAGTAGCAAAACCAATGAAATAGATCACTTCTGTATCAATATAAAACGTACAACATATTTTAAGTTACACCTTTAAGAACACAACTGTGAAAACCGTATCCGATTTGGTGTAGCAGTTTTTGCATGATGCAAGAAGAAGCAGACAGATAGATAAAAATTCTAAAAAATATTGTTTTTGGTCTTATTAAGACCTCTCAAGTTACTTTTTTAAATATGTCTCATGTTACGGACATTGTGTAGTTACATTTTTATTGTCTCAGTAAAATTATAACATTTGAGCGCGTTTTACCATAGTCTCACGTGATGTTAAGTGAATGAGTGGTCTAAAATGCTGCACGTAGACTCAAATATTACCTATTCACTCTAGCCTCGATGGACCTCAGAATATAAGAGCTCAAAAAGATAAATATTAATAATAAATATAAGATTGTTCATCCATAGGATATTTATCTATTAGGTTTTATGTTTTTTACAACACAGAGGGCAAACGAGCATGCGGCTCACCTGGTGGTAAGTGACTACCGCCGCCCATGATCACCCACAACACTAACGGCATTGCAGGTGTGCTGCCGGCCTTTTAAAAAAGAATATGCTCTTTTCTTGAAGGTTATGATGTCGTATCGGTGTAATTTTGACCTCTAATTGTTTATTATATAATTGTTTATTACTGGTAGGCTATACTGTATTTTTTTATAAGTAATCAACTCTCTCCCTATCACTCTGTATCGTTATAATTTAGCAGTCATTATGCAGTAGTTGTATAAGACCAGCAGTATATTCCATTTTTCCCTTCATTACACTTTACAAGTAATTATTATTTTCTAACGAGTTTGTTAATTACACAGTGAGTGATTATACGAAGTGACGAAAATCATGGTTGCTCGCACGATGAAATGAAATCTCTTTGATTCGTACTCACCTATGCATATATTATATAGGTACATAATTTTCTGTTTACAAACTCTATATAATAAATTATGAATATCCAATTTCATTAAAAGGCGCCTTTTCATCTTAATTCAACTCAATATATACTAAATTAAACGATATAAAATCATTTCATTACGAAAATATGTAATAATAAATTATAAAATATATTATGCGATATATGAGGTAGATTTGAATTCATTGCAATATTTACAAATAAGATTCAATCCAAAATACAATTGTGTACTAAATTTACAAACAAAAATTTTGACTATTGTTAAAAATATTGCCTTATATAATTATATTATTTAATATATACTATATAAACAAATAAACGTGACTTATTGAATACCAAAAATATATTATGCAAAACATCTTGATACATAATATACGCGAATCGATTTCAACAATGATTAATTTAAAAATCGAAAGGTTAATAATTTAAAGCCTTCCATACAATCGCTATCTTTGTAAAACCCTAAGTGGCGCAAGAAATATCTATAAAAAAAGTCGTTATGGTTATTTTTAGTGGAACTTTCATTTGTAGTTCATTATTTTAATTACATATCGATTCCGTATTAGAGCTAATAGTGACTTGCAAATTGTTATTTTAAAGATTGTGCGATTAATCGCAGTTTAAACTGGTCTTTTGTTTTTGTTAAACAGCTTCCAAGAAGAGAGGGTTTTGGATTTGTCATTTCTAAACAAATTTTTATAATTATTTTTGCAATTTATTGATTGACTCTTTGATGGATTTATTTTATGGATTGACTCCCGTATTGTCTGTTATTAATTTTAGCTTGTTTCGTAGAAAAACTTTAAAAAAATACTTAATTCCGTTATGTGTTCTGAATTCAAATTTAGTCGTGAAGTGTTTTTTTTTTTTTTGCTGCCCAAAATCTATTTGTAAACCTTATATTTCGTAGACATTAGTTTGTACTGTACTATTTCAATTAGTTATCGATTCCCTATATGAAGCTCATGATGACTTGCAAATTGTTATTTTAAACATTGTGCAATCGAATTGACGTTTTTACTCTTTGAAGGCATATCTGTTACCTTATCATGGTAAGGAGGATTTATACTAAGTGAGCGATTCTCTATTCAATCCTTACTTCTTATATTTTTTAGTGTGAACATATTAAGAGATAGCTAATATTTAAAGAATATTCTTTGATATGTGTTTACTGCAATTCGCAATAAGTCGTCTAAACTTGCAATATTCGATGCTCTAGATTGTTCCTATTTGTATATATATAATAACAAAAATAATATTGTGTTCCACAAAAAAAAAAACTAATTTCAATCGTGGCAAAACCAGTTATTTTGATTTTAGAACTAAATTACTGAATCGATTTTGATAAAATTTCTATGGGACTAATTTGTGAAAGTATATGCTTTCAGATACAATAAGAATTTCCCAAATTAGTTAATAAATGATGGAGTTATGAGGTACAAACGTAAAAAATACAACCGACTCCTTTTGAATTCGGTTGACAATGGAAACCATACCTTTAGGGTAACTTATTGGTAACTTGCTGTTACAAGTCTTTCAGTCAGTTTTATTCCAAACTTGGTATTCACGTATTATTTAGACGCGTTATGATAGAGCTTCAATTCAATAGAATCAGAACATAATACTATTCCAATTTTGACAACTTCACAATCGGCGCTTTTCAAGGATTTCTTCAAACGTCTAAGTTGCTATACGTACTGTGAGTAATATACTACGTACTATATACAGTATCCTTACGGTTTTTTTTCTCTAATTCCGAAAATTTACGTATAATTTAATTAGATTAAAAATTTATTATTTTCCTTGAAAATTATACTTTTCTCAAATACTTGACAAAAGTGCACATCATTTATTTTATAATCGTCTCGGACTTTAATACGAAGATGAACCTTATCACTAGATAGTCATAAAATATTTTTATACCTGGGTATAAAATATAATTGGCTAATCACTTCCAGTCGATAATCTTTATGATCTTATTATTATCTTTTTCAGTACCTATTTACGCCAAAGCATTTTAGGTCATAAAATTTTCAAAACATAAATGTGTACGCGTGTACTTATTTATATTATTTACTTCACGATGAATTTATTTTTGGAAATCAAATATTCAGCGCAAATGTATTTTACTCTCGGAAATGAGATCATTTGAAATTCTGTATTTAGTTCCACCTTGAACCTTATCTACTTAACTTTATAATATAGATTTAACATTCGCCAACCATGCCTGTGATATCTTCCCACTGATTAGGTTATAAGGTAGAAAAGATTCAGATCGATTCAATGAATATATGCATTACGTTGAGGAATTTCCATTCTGTATTTTTGGCTCAACGCAACGTGCTATTGAATTATGTGGAAATCCAAACCCCTATAAACTATTTTTATGGTATGAAGTTGATAAACAAGCTTATGATTACTAATGAACAGTTACCAAAACATCAGTGATTTACGGGTTTTAAATGGTATTCACTTTTATGAGTATTATTGTGATTTTGATAATTTAATTTATCATTTAATTTTAATTTGTCATTTGCATTCTGGTTTAATATTACTTCATCATCATTATCTCAGCTATTATCTGTCCACAGTTGAACATAGGTCTCCACCATAATGGTCCTGTGCCGCCTACATCCACTGACTTCCCGCAATGCATTTAAGGTCGTCACTCCACCTATTAATATTCATTCAATAGTTTAAAATAACGATACAATATCATTCTCTATGATTTTTAAGGTTCTTGTTATTTTTTCTCGGAAGATACCAACCAAAGGTTTTCAAAATTATTAAGTAGATACATGCCTTTTAAATAATGTACTTTATATGTCTGAATTTGATACAAAAAGCAATATTGCTTAGGACAAATGATATGATAAACCTTAACCAC